GTCCAGGAGAAAATGTCCTTCCTACTGGAAATAGTATACGGCTATTTATATCTAAAACCTTTTTCACTCAAAACCAAGACTCCTAGACGGTCTAAAATACATGGGTATATTCTGGGAATTTATTTCATCCAATCTTGTATGTATATAGCATGCAGTAAACCACTTAAAAAGGAAATTTATGAACTGATAATGTTTTCAAATGCAAAAGCAATGCAAAACCATGAATGGAGGTCTGGCTTTCGTCAGGCGCAGTTTGACATACGAGACACTGTACTCAGACAAACACTGACGTGCTGGTTTGTTTAAATCATCAATACGATCATCGTTTATGAACCTCATCAATTGTAAATATTTTTTGTCCGCTATAAGTTGCGTAACGTTTTAAAAATAAGTCTATCAAAGTATGTCCGGTTCTAAGTTTATGCATTACATACATCGGGTGATTCAAGACTTTGAAAGCAGTAAAACTACCGCAGATTTGCTTGGTTTTGGTGAGTTTGTGCTTTCATAAAGACAACTCCTTGCCCCTTAGCATTTATGCACTTGTTTCCGTTATATATTTTGGTTTATTTTTAGTCAATCATCTCGTATAGCTCATTTATTGCGAGTAAATTAGTTTTATCGTTTATAACATACAGTAGCGTAGACAGCCTGACGGTCGATTTTTCCTGCTCTGTAAATTTCGAGTTATAATAATTATAATAATTATTCGCATCTTTAGAAATTTTTTGTTTTCACAAGTCAACGAACATCAAAATATTAGCATTGCGCCGGGGCAAATCGTCAGGCTGGCTACGCTACTGATAACATATCATATTTTATACATAACAATGATAACATGCATATCTCGGAGTATAGCTAAATATTGAAAGTTATATAAATCGAATAGAAATTTTGGTGGAGATATGGTAATATCCTTACCATACTGGAATGCTATTCCGAACATGCGTGGATGTGCGAGTAATATGTGGTTTGGTTTTTTCTATTATTTGTTTATTTTGCCCTATCGTAAAACATTGGATATATTTAATATGCTATATTGTTCCCGAAGATCTTGTTTATTTGCTGCTCGCCCTCACAAATAGACAAGGAGCTCCCTTTCTTCTGGCTTTTAGGACAGGAAAGACCAGTAGGATTAATTGAGATGGATTTACGTAATCAAGACGATCTCAAAAGTTCTTTGATAGCATTGTCATGACATACACTTATTAAAAGCACAAATATGCAAATATAGTTATTGTTTTTCTGCATGTAGTGGGTATATATATATATGGTTTCATTCTTGTCCTAATTTGAAGAATTTGGTTCATCCTTAGTTGAAACGCCGTAGGTCCATTGCAAGCTAACGTCTGGAACTCATCATGAAACAAACTTGGAACGAATAGCTTTGAATATAAGCGTCTTGTATTCGCTCCAAATTAGTGCTAAATTAACATTTTTGTAGTCATGACAAACCAGTAATTTGAATTGGTGCAAATATTTCGCATTTAAAACTCTTGTCTTCCGTATGAAACGTAAGTTTTTATTGTGGTTGAAAATATAGATTTGCAAAACAGGCTATGGCGTAGCCGCTATCGTAATTATGAATCCATGAATCATGATTTGCAATCATTTAGTTCCACCATGCATTGTTACAATGGTGTAGGTATATTTTGAAAGAGTTGCTAAAAACGAAACACTATACTCAATGAACTATACAAGAGAAACATTCTCTGGAAAGAGCTGAATCCTGTCAAACCAAGATTTGAGCTTTAAAGCAAGACTTCACGTTTATACTGGTGATTTTTTGACATCATCGGCAAAGTCGTTACCAACCAAGCGACGGTTATTCAAAGTTAGCAAAGGCGTTTAGCTTAAACGGTGAATAAGCCAAAGTTCAATAAATAGGTTCCATTTTGGAAAACGTATATCTGCCGGTTTAAGCTAAACGCTGGCTTTCAAACAAACTGGCTCCGGAATAATGACATTTGTGTTTTAAAACCTAAATCTTTAGTATCGAAGACGATGTCCTGCACTGAACTAAATTTTTCTTTTGTCTGGTGTATTGCAGCGCATGCCTTATGGAGTACGTTTTCAAGTGTAACCCATTTTACTTGGCTATGGCATACAGTACAGCAATCAAATTGTGTCAATACGATTTCGTAAATAACTTCTTTATATTTCTTTTTTTAATAATCTTAAATCTACGGCAATTTGAACAAAACACAGGAACACGGAAAAACTTGAACTGCGTCACAGCCCGACGTGAGAGTCCCATCCATTGATTTACAAATGAAGTGTTTGTCAGTCATGATCGAAAGCTGCCGTCTTAAAAATAGATTGTAGGCATTGCTTTGATAGTATTCTTGTTCACAACACAGCTGACTTCGCCTCCAGCAGTATTATCATTATATATAGGCTGAGCAACCGCGTAATTTGAACCGGGATTATTCGGAAAAACAAACGCATCCTGTACTTGTGAAACGTCGAAACCGCTCGAGTTCAGCAATTCTTCTTTATGAGTAAGTTTATTTGTTTTATTCACAGAAAACTGATGCATCTATGCACGTATTCTGGTACAATACTGTCTGTATCGATTGAATCGTGCTAAACTGAGTGTGTAAACTATTCAATTGAATGCAAAAACAGTCTTGCGGCAATACTTTTGAGTCAGTGTGTTTTGACTAATGTGCTATATTACGAGTTCACGATTGTTTCAGATAATGGGAATATGTTTTGAATTTATATGTAATCTAGCAACTAGTATACGTGTTATTTGCTGAAAAATCCTAGGCCAAATGCGTATGTATCGATCCGTTATTAAACTTAATAAATTGTGAACTGTTCTTTGAAGCTTGAAACGCTTACGAGACAAGAACGAAAGTACTATGGCGTGCAATTTGTTCACAATTTGTTATGAACAGTTTATATTCTATTATTGTCTAGCTTGTTCGACTTGTTTTTGTCAGATTGCCGGAATTAATAAATAGACCATTTATTTGTAATAACCCCTAGCGTTGTTGTTCCAGTTGTGCTATTAAAAGTGACGGAAATCTTTGCACATTTCATGTTTTAGCAAAAACAATGAAAAAAAACCAGGAAAACAGTTATATTTAGCGGCACTGTGGCGCTACAAATGTCGTGTCATGGCTATGGAGGCGTAGGATATATAGTGTAGTGTACTAACCCTAAGTGTGAGGTCTTTCTTATCGATTGAAACGCTATAATGACTCTGAAAATCACAGAAATACATTAATTATTATTAAATTATACATTAATTAAATTATTGACAGAGCCACAGCTGTCCTGCTTGGCAACACGGCCCAAATTTGCCCGCAACTGGTGTGTACGCCTGCTTTTAATCTCCGGCATTCGTGATCATGACGTCACGGGCCTGTCAATAACCATCAAACGACGGGTGTCAAATGCCTGAGTTGGCGGCCCGCTGTGTGTTAATTTTACAAGCTTGATGTCGCTATTTTGTACACAAGTAAATGGCCACGGTGAGCTTCGGGTCAAACGACTTTCATTAAACGTTTTGTTTGTGACTCCATGTACGAAAGTGCAATATATACACACGGAAGATAAAACTCGTCGCTGTTAGCTTGGCGCTTCCTTGAAACAATCGTGATTTATCGATCGGGGCTATCTTTGCATGGTTCGTGCTTATTGATACATAGGGAATTTGTTATCGCATCACAAGTCAAAAGTGCTAAGTCACTCAGTGAACTGATTGTGTACATGCATGGTGTTGATTCTAACTAACACTTTCTCTGCACAAGACTCACGGAATATCGAGAGGTTTGTATGTAGCTGATCATTTCTTCGTTAAAGCCCATCGCTTGAGTGTGTTATTTGTGAGTTATATAGGGGGATAATTACACGGGGGTCATTAAATGTAAGATGCTATTAAGCTTATAATATAGGGATGTTATTGTGTATGATACGCTGTAGCAAGAAATTTCTCCATGTGATATGCCGTGCTAACTGGAATCCTCTCAAACTTTACGTGATATGTACGAATTACTAGGTTTTGAGCAAATTCAGCATCGCGTGGTACTCGTATCATCGGCTCAATCTTTACTTCCATTCGCGACACACCGGCTTTTTGGCATAACAACGAACTTTGTGTGTATTCTTTTGACCCCCGCGCGAATAAAGGAAGACTTTAAGTTCTTTTAACTGCAAAACACATCATAATAAACAAAGTCATTTGGCGAATGATTGTTTAAAAGTTTGAACACATATGAGATAACTCCGTGCAGGTCATCGCCTTTCAACGCTTATGACTTCTATTTTTATAGCGCGCTCATCGTGTCAAGAAACACGCTAAGATACTAAATATTTGCAATATATTTAGCACTTCAATATAGACTTGTTACCGGGTTATCCAACTAGCTATATAGTAACTATAAGGAACCCAATAAGACTTCATTTAAGAATTCTAGAAAACCTTATCTTGTCATCTTTTAACCCAGTTCACAAATACTATACATGCTTTGACATGCTTGCTATAAAATTTTAACCGCGCGCCGTGGTTTCCATTACGACTAAAAACTCGCAATTGATCTTGGCCTTTGGCAAAGCACGCCAGCCGGACAGGTTTCGACTCGAATTTTAAGCTTTCAATAATCTTTGTCTTAACACGTTAACACCAAATGTTTCATTTATCTTACGTTGTACGATACTTTATTTATCTTATTTCGTCACATCGGAGTCTACAAGGCTACGAGTGAGAAACACATGTTTTTAAACTTTTATAAAACGCGAGTTGGACAATCGTAGCGTGCCCAGACGGGTGTTTGGTGTGCAAAGCTACAAGGCCATTACATAAATCACCATACAATAGATATTCTAAGGAATGCCTACGGTGTCGTGCGAGTGTCGATTTGAAAGAGAGATGCGGTAATTTTCGAGATTGATTAGAATGTAATAGGTGTTTTTTTGAGAAGATGTTACTTTCAACAATGTTGCATAGCAGAGGTGTCTCAAAACTGATCGAGTATCTTCGCTTTCTCTAGACCGCGTGGGGTTGCGACGCCATCCTTGTAGACAATAATGTCCCACAGCCTGGCTTAACAAATTTCAGTTCAATTCCCATTACACCGTCATCGCAAAAACCAATCAAGAAAGATGAAGAGCGTCGTAATTACGCTAGCCATAATCGTTTGCTGTTACCTACAGACGATGCGCTGTTCAGGTAAGCATTTTTAATGGTATATGTCCTAGCTACTTTCTCTAAGCTTACGTTCAGATGAATCAGGATTCGCTTCGCTTGCTTGGCTCAGTTTGAATTGTCGAAAGGAATGCGCAATTATTAATCACTACTTGATCTCAATACAAATATACACCCAGCGATATCACTCATACACTAGAACTATTCAGTTCTTGGCGCCTGGGTTATGAAAAGAGTAAATGATTTAAGACTCTTTATTGCTATTGGCAAAAGGCTAATATTAATTCCATTAAACTTCGAAAGAGAGAGAGGGCTTAGTGTTTAAAATGATCCCACGATGAACTTGACACCTATACGGTCCCCTGTTAGTTTGTTTATAGCTTACGACGAGCATAAACAATCGTATTAAAAGCAGCAACTCTTGTGGTAGGCGTAGAGTGGTTATTTGTTGAATATCGTGTCTCAAAACAACACCATTAAACTTCGGAAATGCGCGAAAGTGCGCCGGAGATTGGTGTAAGATCTGAACAACATGATTTGAGACTCGCATAGATGTTCAGTCGCACGCATTGGCCTGAACAAACGCATTGACAAGCGTTAATTGGCCTTCGTCCATTGAATCTGTTGCAACCTGCCGAGCTAATGGATAGGTTCAAATTAGGAAATATTTTATTTAACATCGCGTTTTAAGAACATGTTATTGAAATGATTACTGCGCCGATGGGAAGCTTCCAAACACGGTGCGCCGAAACATGCAATTTTCATTAGAAATAACAGACATTTTTTGAAATCAAAATATCGGCTCAGAATCGAGAGAGATCTTAGGTCTATTCCCCATCATATCGCACGGAGATAATTTAAGGCCGGATTTGTACGGGCACATGGCTTTATAAGAGATAAATCTTTTGTATAACGCTCAAATGGGTAACAATAGCTAATGATACGAAACAATATATCGATAACACTTAAACGTCACATATAACACAGGAAGCTGGAATCTCTCTTGTGTCTAAAAGATTTCAACACCGTATTATACAACTCAAAATAAGCTATACTTGAAGATTTAGCAATTAGGAAGACAGAAGACATTCTTTTTATGCCAGATTTTTTGGCCGGGCAAAAGATATTATTGTTTCGTATGTTGTTGCATGCAGCGGCTTCGAAGTTTATAAAGTTATGTACATTATAGTGATTGTACATGCATATTGTTTATGAATCCAGTGAGACAGCACGATCTTTACTCACGAACTGAACAGTTCAACGTTGCGTGTATATATTACTCTAAAAAGATCATCCGTGAATCTCATATATAGATGCATTTATATAACATACAATATCAAGCAACCAATATTTGATAACTTGCAGATTACGTATATAAAAATCTCCTAAGAACCAATGATCTTTTCAGATAGATATCTTAAAGAGTATTTTTAACTACCAAAGCCAATATATGATACTATATATGTATGATGCTTAATGTATATTTATACCACGCCAATATATGTTTAGAATCATATATCCAAGTGGTGCGCACGATATACCGGAGTATATAGACCTCATGCATAGAGCTAATAAGGACAAGATTTAATAAATTTGGTTTAGTTGTGGGCCTGGTTTTAAGATTTTATCCACCACAAACGTATTTCGCTTGACAAGAAGTGCTTGCCACACTCATAGGACAGTCTTGCTTATATTGCTACGAAACAAAAAATATGAAAAAAATATCTGCAAATATTTTTACGGAAGCATTTAATCCGACCAAAATTTATTTTCATATGCCTGTGCACATCTGCTAAATTACCATTATTCTTAATTAAAAACTTTTTAAAGGTCTGAGAGTTGCTGCATTATGGTTGGCATAAGATTGGATTAACTACTTCAAATAAGTCGATTATATTCCGCCAGAGTATATATGCTATGGCCTTTCTTAACTTCAGACCGTTTCGTATTATATTTTGTTCACAAATTATTGTCTAATGCGGGTATCGTTTGGTCAGCTTTTCAATATTTGGCAAATTCTGGACAACCATATGTCAGTTAATCAGGAAGGAATCGTTGCTATGTAGGAAATGGAAATATGATAAATTTTATCGCGTTTCTGTCTTTATTTGATTCGTGCGGTTTTTCGCCCGGAGCAATGAACCTTCAATAAGGCAATAAATTCAAATGTCAAACTGGTATCTCTCATAAGCAGCTTACTGATTAATGCGAATCAAATGGAATAGCAAGGTAATAAACTAGCTAGAGAATAGGTTTCTCGATTTGAAAGTCCCTTTTTTAACTTAGAATATGCACATAGCCGCGCTCTTGTGTTTCCCACACGGTGGGAAAATATGACACGGATATCGATTTTCAATCATTCAAGATTAAGTACGTAATTCATGTAAGTTTTTTTTCACAAACTTGTTAAATCAAGCTAAGCTTTGCCGCATCGCCGTACGACCCTTTGCGAACTACCGTGAACCGGATTTGAGTTTAAACCTTAGTTGAAAATATTTTAAAATCATATTGCCTATATACACTTTATTAATTAATTAGACGACTGAGCTTGCCTTCCACTTCATAAAGTGTTGGAGGTGTTGAAAGATTGTAACCGCTGCCCACACCTCTACTCTGTCGGGTTGACACATTGCGTCACGTTTTTCCCCAATCAATCAACGGCTGGGCACCAGCCCTAAAGAAATATCACAGCAATGCGGGGACCCTGATGCACGAGGTTGATAAGCCATGACCGCAATGAGCAAACAGGAATTCTCATAACACGGGCCACATTTTTAGGAACTTTTTTTTACCCTAAAACGTGCTTGTCCCCTCGCATTTACGATTCAAAATTTTCATTGGCTTAGCTTTCAAGACTTAGAAATTCCACGCCTATATAGCTGAAATCTAAAAGCTCTTTCACACCGAATGTTAATAAGTGGAAGATCTCGACCATTTCGAGACGATTCTGCATGTGACAGTATTTACTTTATATCTTATTGCTGGCCTTTGATTCGAAAAAAAATATATTCCTGATCACCAAACTGCTGTTTTTTTTTTGTGACAGACTGAATGAGTATGATATTAAGCTTCTGTATTACAATGAATAGTCCACATCTGTGGACGAAACCAGAAAAAAAAATTGTGAAAAAACCGTCTTTAAAAATGTCTAACATTTCTAAAGACAACAATGGAATGAGGGATGTTAGAAATTCTAGCAACTTCTGTGGCTTGTTTAATCCTTGTATAAGAATCATTAAACGAAAAATCATACGAGGAACAAACAGCGACCGCACGAGCTTTGAAGTAACCACGCAAAACGCCTTTCTCAAAGCCGACAATGCGACCCATCCCAAAAATGAGTTGGCGTTCGGATTATGTCATCGATGAGTAGTTCGATATTTTGTTTGAAAATATATACCCTCGTTGTGAAAAAAACAATCGTATTATCTTCCATTAAAGTGTCGTGTTTCTACAAAAATAGCGTGAGTTTGCTACGTGCATTTTCAAACGACGACCTTTGGCTTTTGTATAAAAATAATTTGTATGTTTGTTATTTTATACACTGGGCGCTTCCCTTGCGGTCGAGAGCCAGGCCAAAGGCACGCGGTTGTAATGTACACCGCGCCATTGTCATTTCCGTTTTAAACAACACATGACTAGCTTGCTTAATGTTTAACATCCATAAGTGTATCTAAACATGTCGCGAGAAGGCAAATTCGTAAACAGCAATGGCAGGGGGTTTCCGCTAACTAAAATACTGCAACAATAAAACGTTTTCGACATTTCAAAGCGAACCTTTTAGGGGCAAATTTTTTTCAATCGAAGAGATTACCAAATTCATCGAGGCGATCAGCGATGACGATAAATTATTCTCCTGACAAATAGTTAATCTTTTTTGCACACAAGCGAGGATCCTAATTTTCGCGTCTTAATCGAATAGTATTGTTGCTATACCATATAGCGGAGGCAAATAGATTTGTGGGAGCAAATAGATTTCAGGGGATCAATATCGATCAAAATTGCGAGCACGAACCGTGGCTGATTTTGGGACAGTTCTATATATGCATGGTGAAGATCAATTTTATTTAAGTTGTTTACATGTGGCATTGAATAAGAGATGAAACTTACTTATGAAATGTTGTTAGATTTAATTAAATCAATATATATAATATATCTAAATAATATATCAATATATGTATATTATAATAATATATTAATATTTTTAATAATATATTAAAAATTCTAACTCTCCTGACGAAGACCCTATATAGCTCAGGTCGAAACGTTTTAGTCCATTTTATAGGCAGTTGTTTTAGACCTACCACAGTCTTTCCATTAAAAAAATCTTTCCATTAAACGAGCGACACGTCACATGGAGATGTCAAAAACGAGTTTGATATACTCTTTGAGCTTTCAGATAAGATCATTTGAAGGCCGTCCTTACAAGTACAGCACTCCGTTCAGTTCCAACTTTTACAAGGGTACTTTAAAATGATACTTGATAGCGCATACGCTAAAAGGTTCTATAGTCTAAAAAACTACTTGAAAATAATACTTTGTCTTCCATTGCCATTGTATATGTCTGGTAAGGAAACGGCTGGAGTCATATGTTGTCTGAAAGATGAGAGTCTGTTTCAGTCGGTTGAATGAATGCCCTATGCTCTCTAGGTTTATCTTCACGAATACGAATTTGCTTTTGTTTCAATAACTAAGGGAAATTTTATCGCAAAGGCCTTATTTTTTTGCTCAAAGAGTTCACCATTTTTTCATAGTTTCAAATTTATGCTATGATTTCTAGTTTCGAACTTGTAAGACTCTGTGCGAATTTTTCTGCTAAATTTTAAAAAAAATTGGGCTGATGAAAAAATTCTCACTTGCTAATTCATCTCTGATAAGGATCAGGGCGTGCCTAGTCTATTCTTAGCGATGATATATGCTCGTTTAATGGAAAGATTTTTTTTACATCTCCTCAGAATACAAAAACGACTTCTAACTTTCATACGTTATCTTAACCTTTGATACATAAAGGCACGTTTACATTTTTGCTGCGATCTCATGGGCGATTTTCTTCTTTTGATAGATGTGAACGAGTGAATTAGTTACTGATGTTCAATTAAGAGCTCTTATACATCAGAGCATTCGTAACTAATTACTCGTTCACATCTATTAAAAGACGAAAATCGCACATCACAAAGTCGCAACCAAGTGTAAACGGGCCTGCTTCCCTAATAACCCCCCCCCTTTTTTTTTTGCGCACTTTCATGAAATAATGTCAGGGGGTTAGTAATTTTTTATTTACTTTCAGCATCCGCGCCACCGTTCTTCCAGAGTGACGTGTCAAACGCAACCGTTGTGCTCGGCGAATCAGAAGTCAAGCTTTCCTGTCGCGTGATCGCTGACGTAAATACGCAATATTGGTGGACAAAAGGCGGGAAACGGATAACGAAACGAAAGAGATATCGAATCAAGAAATTCCGTTATTTGAGGATAAAAAATGTGAAGAATTCCGACGCCGGAGAGTACGTTTGTCGGGCGAAAAATAATGGTGGAGAAATTCAGCAAACGATTACTTTAATTGTTGAAGGTTAGATTAAATAATGTATCTTAGGGGCTGTTTACATGAGCCCGGTTACCCGAGATTCAACGAAGCGTGAGAGGACTTTGAGGTATTGAAATAAGTCTTTATGACACCAAACAAGCACATGATATTGTTGTGGTGATTATACGACGGCCAGGATCATATTATCTGCTCATTTCAATACCTCAAAATCATCTCACGCTTCGATGAATCTCGGGTAACCGGGCTCATGTAAACAGCCCCTTAAACTCATATTTGGTAGACTTCTCGCAATCACAAATGAAAAATGATATGGAAACACCCTATATACATTGGAATCTTGTCTCGAAAGTCCTCATATATCGTAAACTGTATATTTGAAGTTTTTCATAGGGAACACGCTATAAAACTCCTTTGTTATCTAAACCGACATTCAGACTTTTTACAAATCGACAACTCGGATCATTTCCCCCTTACTAATCGTAATTTCATATTCTTTATAGATCCAGCCGGAAATTTAACTGAAGGTTAGAATTACATATATTAATTCCCCCATTAGGGCAGGCTCATATGGTCAGTGGATGTCTCAATCATGCATGAAGCTTTTATACTTTTAGTATTTTTATATTAGAAGTATTTTTATATAAGAAATTTTATACTTGAAGTGTGAAAAGGTCAAAAAGCGTGGTTTTAAAACACGATTTTTGAATCATGACGAAAATTTCTTTTCCCAAACGTTCAGATCGAAAACCGTTTTTCACGCATCCTAAGAAGATGACGAAAAAGATGATAATAATCCCAGCTGGTAACAAATTCAAAATCACATGTTCGGCTTCAGGCAGACCATCACCAACAGTCTCCTGGTACAAAAATGGTAAACAGCTTAAACTAATGCCCGATGGTTCAACGGCGATAAAATCAAATGATTTTGTCTTAAACTTCGATTCACTGCGACCAAAAGACGATGGAGAATACACGTGCTTCGTTTCAAACAAACTTGGAAATGTTAGCGCGTCATTTGACCTGACAGTCAAAGGTAGGATCGTGATATTTTCTTTCTGATTTCCAACACAATTAACGCGGTGATCTTAACGTGCGAAACTAACTGCGATACTAATGTTTCCCACTAGAAATAATACTCGCAAAACCAGTGTTGCAAAAAATGAAAAATAAAACTGCGTATGAGGGAGACGATGTGACGCTCACTTGTAGTGCATTCAGCGATGCTTTGCCTCATTTTCAATGGATAGTAAAGAATCCAAAAAAGAACAATTCGATTGAAGTTTTAAACCCCGGACTTGAGCAAGACGACTACATTTGTGAAGGAGAAAAAGAGCGATGGCACTGCGTGAAATTGCTACTCCGTAACGTGTCGCGTAAGGATGAAAGGCAGTATTACTGTATGGCAGGGGATGAACGGGGATGGAGCAAGGAGACGGTGTGGCTAAAAGTGTTGCCAAGACCAGTTACTACCGAGGGTGAGTTGTGTAGAACAACATTATGACAAAGAAAAGAGTATAGGCTTGGCCTCTTCGTAGCTTTGAATTAGTAAATTGATTTTACCACAGCTATTCGGAATTTTTCGATGGAACGAAGTTTTATTTTTCGCTCGATTTTCTTTTCATTTGTGACCGGTGAAGAGAATCTGCTACGGTCGAATTCCCACAATTGGAAACAATATCAGACGAAAAATTTCGTTCGTTCGAAAAATTCCGCCTAATGTGCCTAGTAATGGAAAACGGCCCTTAATCGTAGTGGGGTGGAAAGTTTGTTTTCTTTATTTCCAACGCAAGTAACATTCCTTTTCAGCGACATCGGTTAAAGTGCGTAACAAGAGACCATATTATAACTCAGAGAAGACATCAGGGAACTCGATGACACAAGTCATCGCCATCACTGTTTCGGTGGTCGTTGTAGCAATTGCAATTGGCTCTGTGATCGCGTATCTATGTATTTTCAAGCGAGGAATGTTCAGACAGAAAGCACGCGTCATCGAAAGTTACGGCGCACCTCCGTATCCCGAAAAACGTCGCGATGTATTGAGTTCTACGTCGTCGTCCATGTCCAACTGTTCAACAAATCCTTTGCTTGCACACCACGGAATGAGATACCTGAAGAGGCAGAACTCCGGTCTTTCTCATGTAAGTTATAGCGATCGTGAAAATATGTGCAAGAGATACGCGTTTCTTTGTGATTATTATTAGTGACGCTTCTTCTGGCATTTGCGACAAAAGCATTTCCGAAAAGCTTCACCTTTTGGACTTGTTCAAGTTGCATCAATCGCGTGCGTATTGTCGGTTGTCAGATTCAGGTTTGACCCGCACTATCGCTACAGACGCTACTCCTATACGTTTAGGAAAACATCAACAAATCAAATACGAAAACTCCATTAGATTAACCAATTAACCAATCACAAACGCTATAGGGCAACAAGGTCTAGGTAGTGGAACTTCAATATGAACCTTCGTGATATAGCGTAAAAACGTCCCAACAAACTACCAGTATATTAGTTTCATTCCAATGTTTTGGAACAGTGCTTCATGATGGAAACCCATTTGCTCGTTGTTAAAACTTTGATTTCGGTGAATGCATGTGTTTTCTTTCAAACGCAGGTCAGCGAGATGGTGTTATACTGTGACGCAGAGTGGGAAGTCGATCGGGAAAACCTGAAACTTCTCGAAGTGATCGGTGAAGGAGCTTTTGGCAAAGTTTTAAAAGCGGAAGCATTTGGTTTAAATCGACAAAACGCCGGAAAGAATATCGTTGCCGTGAAAACCTTAAAAGGCAAGTCAACATTTTGCGACAAAACTAAGCTAGGATATATAGCTAAGTGCGGTTAAACTTTATCAATGAAGATTCGATTGTTCTGTGCCATGGTCAGCTTGAATTCTGCCTTATTAATATCTAAAAAATCTTTATTAGACGATGCAACTGAGGCAGAATTATTGGATCTTGTTTCTGAGATGGAAGTGATGAAGACGATTGGGAGACATAAAAATATCATCAACGTCATCGGATGTTGCACGCAGAATGGTAAAAACTTTAATTCTTGGATAGAACACCGGCATATAGAACGGGGAGTTTGCTTACGGGGCACCTATGTATAAGCGCCCTGGGAAAAAGCCACGGTTAGAGCTTTGAAACGAGACAGGTTTGACTGATGATTCAAAACACCCGTCAAAAGACAGTCATTTCTGGTTCGACAATTACCTAATTTGAGTTGAGTTAAAATATCACCTTAAACTTTCTGTCTTGTTTTAAAGATAAAATCTTGGCCTTTCAAAGTGTTTTACTTCGGCGCATGTTCCCTTGCTCCGAATTTACTAAATCGTCTCTCTCAGAAATTGAGCCGCGGGTTCGAGTTGATGATGTGATCTCAAAAAAGTTGACTTGGATTTGTGAAGAACGTATATTTGCTTCTCTATTTACTGATGATGTACAAACGATTTCTGCTTTCCAGGACCACTGCTTGTTGTGGTAGAGTACGCACCATATGGTAATCTGAGAGAATATCTTCGTGAAAGAAGACCTAATCGTAACGGTTTAACAAATCCAATCGAAGGAGAGGAGAAATTGATTTTGCGAGATTTCGTTTCGTTCAGTTATCAAATAGCCCGAGGAATGGAATATCTGTCGACTAAAAAGGTGAGCATGTTTGGCAATGTGTACGATCAAGAAAACTAAAATCCATTTCTCGGTTGAAACAAGTTAATATCTTTTGAAATATCCTTTATTTCGGTTTCAAATTTATGCCAGAGCTATAGCACAAAATTTTGACTAGTTCCATAATGAATAACAAAAGATATAATCGACTAAGTTCTGCGTGATCAGCTGATGGATTGAAATGAGAATCATTCGCCACTTTAACACTTTTTATGATATTCATATTTCAGTGTATTCATCGAGATCTTGCGGCGAGGAATATTCTAGTTGGTGAAGATAAAGTTATGAAGATAGCAGACTTTGGCTTAGCAAGGGATATTCACAAAGTCGACTACTACAGAAAGACCACAGATGTATGTATTTACCACGCAGTGTTCAGGATCTTATGTATAATGTGATTATCGAAGGTTCTGCTATTTGGTTTTATATCTGTTGTGTTTGACGATCAGAAATAATTGGTAACACTGTTGCATCTGTTTTTGTTCTGCAGGGTCGTCTGCCCGTGAAGTGGATGGCGTTGGAAGCGTTATTTGATCGAGTGTACACCGCCCAAAGCGATGTGTAAGTTTTTCACTCGTTTTTTACCAAACCAGTTACCATGTCATACATAAGTTAACCATACATGTACCATACCATGTACCTTAAAATAATTGGACATATACCGTACCAAACCAAACCATGCAAAACAAAAGAAACCATACCGTACCATACCTTGTCGTACCAAAATATACCTTACTTCACCTTATCATAACTTACTGTGCCTCATCATCAACCAGTACAAAATTTTCAAGCCAATATTTTATATCTTTTCAACAGTTGGTCATTTGGCGTAGTCGTCTGGGAAATATTAACTTTCGGTAAGTTTTTTTTCAAAATTCCTGTATCTTCTTCTCAATCATATCGACTTCAATTTATTTATTCAACCTGCAAACTACTACCAGTGCCACAATTTATCCTGTTTCTCTAACTCGTTTCTCAAAAGCATTTCCATTCTCTCCCACAGGTGGCACGCCATACCCAAGTATACCACTCGAAAAATTATTTGAACTTTTGCAAACGGGATACCGAATGGAACAGCCAGTAAATTGTCCAGAAGATCTGTAAGTGTTATTCTCATCGATCCTTTTTAATGACTTTCAATGCAGTCCACCAGTCCAAAACAAAGATTTGTGAAAACGTTTTTCCAAGTTTCACTTTATTTTCTCCTCGAAATTTATCTCAAACAAGATTCTTCTTTCTAGATATGATCTATTAAGGCGATGTTGGAACGAGGAGCCTTACATTCGTCCCACGTTTACTGATCTCGTACAAGAACTGGACGCTATGTTATCAAAGATGACAAACGAGGTACAGGAACTTGCCATATTTTGAGTTGTATCTAAACGGTCTCTCCTGTGCTCTCCAGTACTCGTAAGGCAAAGAAATGGTTCCCTTCGGAATATTTGCATTTTTCCGTTTAAATTCCAAACTCCTAAAATCGTAGGCATACGAGAAACACACGAAATAGCCGTATACCCTTGCCGTTCATTACCCACTTGTTAAATTACTATTAAAGAACCCACACAAAAATTGTGCATAGAGTCTTTTCAAGCAATGAAGAATGCATTGCATTTTTTGTTTGAATAAAAAAACTGAAGGCTCAGTTACGCTGTCACCTCAGTTTACTTCACTGGGATTTAAACTAGGATAAAGAAGCCTATATCTAAACTCTATATTCCTTCTGACAGGAATACGTCGATATGGGCCAACTCATTTCTCCAATGCAGCCCCACCCGGTCACCCACCAGATCGCATCTAGTCCAAGCGACAGTGATTCGAGTGTATTCGAAAACGAAGATCAACATCAAGATGAAAAACAACCGTTGAAAACAGTAGACTGCAATCTTCTTCCAATCATCCAGGAGGTGACGTGTTGAAATATTCGGACAATCCCGTCAAAATTGTGGACGTTTTCGTTATCGTCGAGAGGAATTTAATGAGACGAGCAAGATTTTGCAAAGATGACAAGAATTTCATTGGATGCAAAATAAATAAAAACTCTCTTGGTTTACAAGTTGGTGCGCAGAACCTTATTCATCGGACAGGCAAGGTCATTGCCAGATACTCCTTGAATTTGGAAATAATCCTTCAACTTATTACGGTTTGGAAATGAAAATAGACAGTGGACACAATGGAACTCATTGTCTTAGTAACAATGTTCGAAATCCCTAAATCCTAAAGTTGACGGCAATTGAAGGTTGCTACGATTTGGGTAAACGCATTGCTAGTCAACTTTTTTACATCTTGTACCGTTTTCTATTCTATTGTAAACGAAGAAGCAATTTGGTGGCAAAAAGGCGCTTCTTCCAATGGTAAACCTTGATCACAAAATGAAATGAGTGGTTCACCGACAAAAAATGAACGGTTACGAATCAAAGAATTGGAGGAGATTTATTGGCTGAAAGATATATGAACCTTTTTGGTCGTAAAATTGGACAGTCTTTATCGGCTACAATGAAGAAGAGGGCAACACATTTCTAACAGTTGGATTTAAAGAATCATTCTACAATGGTTCGTACATGAATAAGAAAATGCTTGGTTTTATCAAGCAGATTACTTTATGGAGAGCATCTCTTGTGAAACAATTAAGGTATACAGAATTAAACGTATACTCAAAAGTGTTATACTTTCGTAGTAAAAATAACCTAAAAGCAGTCGTGCCATGGAAAAACAAGTTGACGAAATATCTGGTCCAAATTCATCAAAGTGAACTTAATACCAGAATTTCAGAATGGCCTAGCTCACGACAGAAAAAGCTTTACATTGTGATAATTTTACATCGTAAATAGTAGTTATAGTATAGATAGATTATAGTACCACTCGCAGGCTCTTTCTCATGCCAAACACTGTAGATATTCGAATAGTTAGTATAGCATAGTGATTTTTGAACTGACTTTAGGATTTTACAGAATTAAATACTACATGCTTCTTATAATTTCTGGCTTTAACATCGACTGACAAAATTTTTTTTAGAATGTTTCACACACGAGCCACATCGGTGTGAATTAAATTGTGAAATATTTTATTTTAGACAGTTTTATGAAATTCTTTGACAACACTAATATTAGAGCTTAATTCTGTTGTAAATATGTTACAATTTAATGGGGTTTTGAATGTAAAATAGATTTTGAAGAAACTGTATATATTTTTTTAAAGAGAAAGCTAATAAATGTTTCAAAACAAATATAATAAGCATTTTTTCCAGACTCCTCAAGTTCTCAATTTTCAGCTGTGTTTACACACGATAAAATACTGCCCACAAATTTCATGGGAATTTCGCTTGAATTTGTTACATTTGGCTGTGGTGCGCAATTATTTACTGCGAAAATGATAGATAGGTTCATAACCATTGTTTTTTATGGCTAGAAATTCGAGCCTTTTTGCCATAAAATGGACTTTTCAATCGCATTCTTAGGGTCCATTTTTGGAAACCATGGTTATCTTTTAAGAACCACGCATGAGGTTAGCACGCACACTTATCTGTCGTCACGTTTTGGATGTTGCATCATCCGTACGTTCTCCGGTTCGTTCCGGCCGGAAACGACCAATCAGAAGGGCGGATATCGGACACGAAATTAAAAATTCCAAAACAATGGGGCAGTCAAAGAACGGAGCGTAAAACTTTGATAAGTTGTGGTTGAAATTGGCGATCAAATAAATGTGATAAAATGTCCTTTAAGCTTTGTATTTTGGTGTGAATTGCGTACTGACACCTACATTAGCTTTGAGAGCTTATATACTATGTATTCGCTCAGTAATCGGGCTTGTTTTGGCCTTCGTTCTGCCTTGAAGAGTCGCGTTGTATTTTGGCAACGTGGCTTAAGCAGTCAAGAGAATGGGAATGGCTTGACAAGTTTCGATGATCTCTACACGGGCAGAAAAGCTGCGCTACATCGTATGGAATTAAAGAACAAGAAAAGAGTTATGGTGAAGCTTGGTTCTGCCGTGATTACTCGCGAGGATGAGTGTGGTGTTGCTCTCGGAAGATTAGCCTCGATTGTAGAACAGGTACACTTCAAATGTTGATCTTTAAATCGCATATTCTAGGCACAATGAACCGGCTGTATATTTTTCTGTTGTACAGCAATGTTACCATTGGATATTATTATACAAACGTAGATTCGTAACTTTTTGTTTGCATGTTTTTAACAAAGTAATTCAATGTAGGTCAACATTAGTCATATAAATAGTACTGTACAATAATATTTACTTACCATATTAGTCACGACCGAGATACGTGACTCATTCTTAAAGCATGAATGGATCACAGCAAGCCCCAGGTTATATTTAGTTTTTTTTTGTTTCGTTATCATATTATCTTTTGTTAATTATCATGTCGAAATTATTATCAAAAGCTGAGTCCTTACCTATTCCTGTCACAGGTACCTCCCGGTATAAACGTTTAGCATCACTCCCTAGAGAAAACAGCATGTTATCTTGTGTGACACCTGACAAACCACTCCTTTCCTGTGGTCCACAGGCTATATTGTCATGTTGCTATACGTATAAGTATCATAGATTTTAAAATCCGCAGAGGAACATGAATTTAATATTATTATTACTGTGCAGTATGGCTTTATGATTTTGTACCCCAAATGGCACAAGTCTACCCCCACATGTCCTGGTAAGCTGAGGCAGTGAATGCAACTGCCCCCATTGCCCTGGCAGCCCTGCACGGTCTGTGTCAACTCTAAATTCCAATAGTTTCTTGTATTTCTATTGCATACATGACCAAAGCTTACAGGCCTAATCAAAGCATAATATAGAACCTACAATGTCCATGAATGTTTTACTAGATATCGGAACTACAACAGCTGGGTCATGAAATGATGTTGGTAACAAGTGGTGCGGTTGCTTTCGGAAAACAGAGGCTTCGCCATGAACTGCTGTTGTCTCGTAGCATGAGACAATCCCTGAGACCAAACGAGCATCCGCAGGTACAGTAATGTACGTCAAATGAAAATTTACATGAAGTTTAGTTATGATAGCATATAACATATTAGTGCTTAATTCCACAGGTGCTTTTTCATGGCATAATGCAAAATATTCCCTTTAAATGTTTCTTTTGAATTTTGACCACATGAATCAATTAATTCTGCTTCATTGCTCACAATTCAAAAGAAGCAGGCGAAATATTTCACATTTCACTTGAAAATTTAGCCTGTGGAATTGAGCTCTACAGAAGAAAACAAGTAGATTTAAAGATTTGGGATATTTTTTTAGGGAAATTTACTTCCACAACTTGAGCCAAGAGCATGTGCTGCTGTGGGTCAGGGTGGGTTGCTGTCGTTGTACGAAGCCATGTTTAGCCAGTATGGATTGACTTGTGCTCAGGTAATCAAAGAACTGAAGACTTCCTCAAGAAATTTTTCTAAATTCCCCCTGTACTAGGGGGAATTTCATTTTAGTCTGTATATTTGTTCCATTTTTTAGGCAAAGCCAATCAGAATGTCTAAATTTTTAATACTTGATGTGAAATTGTAAATAATGTACCTACTTTTTTACTGGAAGTAGTAAAAATTTATGCATTCTGATTGGGTTTCTGAAAATGTAAAAACAAGCTTGCTGATTGGTACTGTACTCATATGATATGAATGACAGTTGTTGGCTTCACCTCCGGTTTTGCGCATCGCCTACGTTATTAATAGAAAATTGTGGTGTTTATAAATCCTTCCTCTGAACGATGTGAATGAATGGATAAGTTACAGATATTGCAATTGGGGCACTTAATACGTAAAGCGTACCTAACTATTCACAATTTCACATCAATCAAAAGTATGAAATCGCATTGAAAATTGAAGGAAAAAATGCAAGTGTAAATCGGCCTCTAGAATGCTCTCATTTCAACGTGTTGTGAACAAATTCGCCCGCAGGTTCTCGTAACGACTCCGGATTTTAAAGATGCCGAACTTCGAAGTAATTTGAGGTCGACAATGGACGCGTTGATAAAAATGAATTGTATTCCAATAATCAACACGAACGATGCTGTTGCACCGCCACCCGGCGAAGACCACGACCTAAAAGGGGTAGGTATACTATTTCTTTCCTTTTATATTTAGTTTATCATTAAAACAAGAAGGAATTTCGTTTTAAATTGACATTTTTTTACATTTTTCAGGCATATCCAATCAGAATGTCTGAATTAATATTTATGCGTTCTGATATTTGATATTTATGCAATTTCTGCTTAGAAATGTAAACAAATTTACCGATTGGTCTAAAACGGAATTCTTTCTTGTTTATTATTGAACAAAGTTGTATATATTGTAAAGAGATCAATTTGACAAAACACAGCTCGCAACAAAAATCGAAATTATATGCATGAAAACATATTTATTACCGTTCAGTTTCTTTGTAATATTGTCCAATAGAAGTTAGATATTCTTTCCGAAAGACTTTATAATGTGCTGAATGTGAAAATGTCTTGAATTATATTATATTTATGTTTTGAATCGCACTCCTATATTTCGACGCCATCTTGAAAAATATGTAAACAAATTGCCGCCAAAATGACATACGACAATTTTTCACGTCCAATCAAAAGCCGTGTATCGCATTTTTTCACACGTGATAAGATCGTACGTCCAATCAAATTGCATGAAATTAATTTTCCCAGTGAAATACGACTTTTATAGTAAATTTATTTTGATATTGAGACTGCGATATAATAATGATCTAATCAAAGTGATAATATAATGATTACATGTATTTATAAATATTACACTCTATAGTAAATAAATATGACTTTAATTAAATGTTTTACTTTTCAATATAACAGCATCTTAAGCTCCTGGCTAGGACTATTAACCGCTGTAGTTCCAAAGTGAGACTACAATCGATTTAACTGACCATTCATTTGGTTATTTCACACCGTAAATTCAGCAAATAATTAAATACATCAATCGATATTAATTACGAGTTTAAGTATATATTTTATTCGTACGAATTCTTTGTTTTTATCTAATACTAATCCTTTCCAAAATATAATTTACAAAAACATGTGCATGCCATGGTTGATATTTTGAAAAGAAGCTCTTCTCCATGCATATTGTCGTTTGAAATAGGTCATATTTACACAATATCCTTTATTTTATTTTATTTCATAGTTAAGAAGAAAGTCAAACTCGGTAAGTATCTTCCTAAAAATTCGTGATGCTATTTTTATGTTGTGTAAAGCCACGTTTTGAGGAAAAGCTTATAACATAAGAAAATCGTACCTGCGACAACAAAATAGATCACATTCTGTTAAACTTAAATAAAATTTTATCAAATATCTTAATATTTGTATCTACATGTAGTCGTTGTACAGATTTTTGTATTATCCACTCATTAGATCATTAAATTATTATGTATAAGTTATGTCAACAAGCATTCAGCGAATAATAATAGACAAACTCTTAGAAACTTAAATTAGTATAATATTTATCTTCAGCTCGAGTCGTATATGAGCTGATAGCCAACTTTGTTGCGACTTATTGGCTATTAACCACATATGATGAAAGAGAATTGCAGCTATAATCGTTTAATAATATAGCCAGAACTTTATAATAATGAAAAGTCCAAACTTTTATTAGCTAAATTCCCATCACAAATTCTTACTATTTTCACTGTTTGTTTTCACTATACTCAACATATATGAGCTCAAATCTATACAGTGCTTGGGTAGCTCAGCCAAACCAGTTTGTAGCTATATTATAACAACTGTTGATAATTATAGTGTTTTTCTTCCTATATTTATTGTAGATAATCAGTTTGAAGGATAACGACAGTTTGGCTGCCTTGCTTGCTGTAGAAATGAGAACAGATGTTTTAGTTCTGCTGTCAGATGTGGATGGAATATATACGTCGCCACCAACTCGAAGCGATTCCCAACTCATCTCGACCTTTCATCCTTCAAACTTGGAAAACATCACTTTCGGTGAAAAGTCCAGAGTTGGTATGGGGGGAATGGAATCTAAGGTTTGTGTTTTAAAGCACAGTCGGTTTTGTGTCCAGTTCTCACCAGGTAGCGGCTTCAATCGTTAAATTTCTCCATTTTCTTTGCAGGTGAAGTCCTCGATCTGGGCTCTTGAACGTGGAACGTCCGTGGTGATTGCGAATGGCGTTGGTTCCGAGTACCACGCTCTTTCAAAGATCTTGGCTGGTGGAAAAATAGGAACATTTTTCTCCCTTGCCGAGCAGACGGGCCCTTCGGTAGAGGACCAAGCTGAAGAAGGTGATATAATAGGGAAGATTTTACTTCGTGTTTAGCTAAATTGACTGTTTACCGGATAACTATATCGTTCAACTGACTAACTTAGTTTTTACTGGATAGCTCTATCAGTTCTAAACTGTTCTTTCTAGAGGTGCAGTAAGGATGATCTCTTATTGATCCAGTGTTACTACAGGAGGAAACCTAAACTAAACCAACTTTATTTATACTGGATAGCTCTATCAGTTCTAAACTGTTCTTCCTAGAGGTGCAGTAAGGATGATCTCTTTTTGATCCAGTGTTACTACAGGAGGAAACCTAAACTAAACCAACTTTATTTATACTGGATAGCTCTATCAGTTCTAAACTGTTCTTCCTAGAGGTCCAGTAAGGATCATCTCTTATTGATCCAGTGTTACTACAGGAGGAAACCTAAACTAAACTAACTTTATTTATACTGGATAGCTTTATCAGTTCTAAACTGTTCTTCCTAGAGGTCCAGTAAGGATCATCTCTTATTGATCCAGTGTTACTACAGGAGGAAATCTAAACTAAACCAACTGTATTTCCCCGAAACCCTGATGTTATTTTGAATCGCATTCTTTATCCCTTGCACAGCCAGAAGTGCCGGTCGAGCGTTGCAAGCACTGGAACCCGAGAAGGTTGGTCTGGTTTTTTCACGCCATTGAAAATTTTAAAGTATTGCATGTGGAATGAAAAATAAATTATTTTGGTTTTATTCATGACAGCGTGCTGATATTTTGTATCGCCTTGCGGATCTTCTTGAAGAACGAACAACAGAGATTCTCGATGCAAATGGTCGTGATCTGGAAGCAGCGACATTATCCGAAAACCTTGAGCCGGCCATGTTGTCCAGACTCTCGCTAACTCCGAGCAAAATCAATAATCTCGCCGCCGGAATCCGACAGATTGCCGAGAGCTCTCACGAGAATATCGGTCGGGTCCTCCGAAGAACGAAGGTTTCCGAAGATTTAGAGCTCGTTCAAGAGACAGCACCGATTGGTGTATTGATGGTAATATTTGAATCACGTCCTGATGCATTGCCACAGGTAAATATACGAGCTTAATCCGTTATTAATCCGTAATTAATCCGTAATTAATCCGGCTGTTTTAAAGCCAGGAGTTCATTTAACCGGGTTGTGTTTAGTCACAAAGCCACAGCAATATGTACTAGGAACATTTACGACTATTTTTATAATACATTGCTAACAATGAAGAAAGATATTCCAAGAAACTAATTTGTTTTTAATTGTGAAATTTGACCACAGAGACGACCATTTGTTTTATCACATTAGGTAGCCGCGTTAGGACTGAGTACTGGCAATGGTTTGCTGTTGAAAGGCGGGAAAGAGGCGTATCATAGCAACCGTTGTTTGCTGAAGATCGTCCAAGAGGCTGTGTCAAGACATGCTCCGAGAACGGCCGTACAATTGGTAGGGAAACATGTAATATTTTTCTTCAGTATTCCCTGGGGTAGCCCATAAGTATGTGTGTCCAGTTTTGTATTGCGCTCTGCAATGCCGAGACGCCACAGACCGCAATATGAAACGAAACAAAATCCCCAATTAAGACGTTCGCTTTGCCGACCCATGCCTTTACAATACCTCATGTAATATGTATAATTTGTTGTTAAAGATAAGCACTCGGGAAGCAGTGAGTGATCTTCTCAAACTAGAAGGAATAATTGATCTCGTCATACCTCGTGGCTCCAACGAGCTGGTTCAGCAAATTCAAGAGAAAAGCAAAGGGATACCTGTGCTCGGTCACGCGGAGGGAATATGTCACGTGTTCGTTGATAAGGAGGCAGACCCTGCGATGGCTATTCGCATTGGTAAGCGGTCTTAAGTATCGATAGGATAAAACTTCATGTCATTTTTTCATAAGAGCTTAAAACTTAAAGACTACTTTTTGTGTGATCTTTCAGTGATTGACTCAAAGTGTGACTATCCAGCGGCCTGCAATGCTATGGAAACCTTACTCATCCACAAAGATCTCATTGGAACGCAAACATTCCAAGATATTCTTAACAACTTAAGAGATAAACAGGTAGGTGCAAGTCATTATAAATGCTCTGAGCCAGTGGTATAAAACTCCTACAACTGCATTCGAAGTAGCTTAATCGTGGTTATCTTGAATCAGAAACCTGATTGGCCTTCTCTGCCAGTAACTATATGCCTAACAAATTGACCACCTTTTTCATAACCTTCCGAGATGATGTATAAATGCCTTTATTTAAACATCCGTAATGTATCTACTCTTTCACATTCATCAAAAGAAGAAAATCGAGGCCTTAATGCTTATGCTTCTTTTGATATCATAGGTCGTAGTTCATCCAGGAATGCGTTTAGCTAAGGCGTTGCCGTTTGGTCCAATGGCTGCGACATCGATGCGAAAAGAGTACGGGGCATTGGAATGCACGATGGAGATCGTGGATAATGTTGAAGACGCTGTCAATCATATTAATATATATGGTAGTTCACATACCGATACCATCGTAACGGACGACGGTGGGTTCGAACGTTTTATTTGATGTCTTAGGAACAGCTGATGTTATTATCTTTGAGCGCTGAACTCTATATCGGAACTGGATCGATAATTGACGGTCATTTGGCCAAATCAAGTTGAAGCCGGATTGAGGACCAGTGCCAGTATCTTCTGTTAAGAAGATTGATGCTGACCCTAGTGCTGAATTTGGCTTTAAAATAGCCGAGACGTTTCAGTTCAGATAGAGTTCACTATTTCACATATAACAAGTGTCGAACACCTAACAACCATTGAACTATAAGTAAACTGTAATGCTATGTATTTTCAGATGAAACAGCGCAGATGTTCCTGAAGGCCGTCGACAGCGCGTGTGTGTTTCACAATTGCAGTACTCGCTTCGCGGATGGCTATCGTTTCGGCCTGGGTGAGTCGTTGTTAAATATCATATACCTTCTTCTGTTACGTAATTCACGTTGAATCAAAGTGAAAAGTGCAGAGCATGCGCACTCTTGAAATTGCATTGCGAATTTCGAGTGCCATTGATCGAAACCTGATCTTAGGTAACAAAAGGGTCAAAATGGCGGCAAATATCGGCGATTTTGAATACGAGCCCTTAACTTCGGCGCAAACTGCAAACTGCAGTTGGAATAAAAACAGAGTAAAGCACAAAATTTAATGCGTTATAATTTGATATAAACCCGTGTGTTAACGTGTTTAAATGTCTGTGAAATGAATTTAACAGCAGCCTTTGCGCATCAGTGCTGCGTATAAAAAATGTGGAACTCCATAATTCACATTTTTTTACATGTTTCTAAAGTCATCAACTCTCTCTCTCGTATTCATTTAGAAGCACAGCGCGAGGCGCAGCGAAGCAATATCCCAATACATGATACTGATTTCGAAAGTATAGAAGTTCAAATTATGAACAAAGCGCCCTTTAATATTTTGGGTTACATACATTGGGGATTTTGGAAATTATTGCCCAATTTTTTTTACAAGCAGTGCCTTTCTATTGTGAACAGTTTCTTGGTATACATGTTCAGAAAGGCTTGCTGTTTTAAAAGAATTAAAATAATAAAATAATCGTCTTTCGACGTGTTTAAGGTGCTGAGGTTGGCATCAGCACGAGCCGAATTCACGCTCGTGGCCCGGTGGGTGTTGAGGGACTTTTGACTACACGATGGGTCCTCAAGGGACACGGTCAGACCGTGGCGGACTTTGCCGAAGGAGGCAGCCTTCGATACCTGCACGAAACCTTGCCGTTGACCGAGGAGGAAGTACAGGACATTGAGGGTGAAATAGGGACTGGCGAGGACATCGAGGATAGCCAATACGAAAAGGACAATATTGGCAAAGGTGGTTGAGAATCCCTAGGGTCCTTATTTTTGAGGACTCAAAATGCGGCCGATATTTTTACTTCTACAAACGTTTTCCTTATTTTTTTACATTATATTCAGGGGGGGGTTATAATGTCACTGAACATCTCCGGCGCGGCAACATTACAAGGATTGGGATGTGGGATGATTTTACAATTTTATTAGATGAAGTACAAATACCGAAATTACCGCTATTTCGAATGGCTCCACTTTAATGTAATCACGTTTCCAGTTGTTGCTTAAAAGGAAAAATATTTCCTTACTAATAATTTATCGTCGACTTAAGCCGGTTTTCCACTAGCGATATTTTTCGCGCGAAGCGACTTTATTCCTTTGTATTTGAGCAATTTGTTCCAACTGGTTGCAGGTGAGAGCTCTGAAACAAAAGTAAAATGTCGCTTCGCGCGAAAAATATCGCTAGTGGAAAACCGGCTTTACGGCTACAAACTAATCAAAAAAACTAATCTGGGCCGTTCACCATAGATATTGTAAAATAAAACTTCCAGGCCAGATCTAGGCCTCTAGTGTTATTAACGCGGCTTTATACTGCTAATGTCCTGTTTCCAGAACAAATTTCGTTTATAAGCGTGACCATGGCTTGCCCAAGTACACTGTCTCCCA